GGGGGAGGGAGCCGGCGTCTGTCCCTGGCCTGGCCACGGGGGAGGGAGCCGGCGTCTGTCCCTGCGGGGCCTGGCCTGGCCACGGGGGAGGGAGCCGGCGTCTGATCTGCCTCACGCATTGTCCACAGCATTAATTCCAATTGCAGAATGGTTAAACCTGCCTCCCGAATGTCTGTGCTGCCCCCAGCAAGTCAAAGAAGCAGAGCAGGGAACTGCCGTGTGCGCTGGAGTCTGGACTTGGCTTGACAGCATCCTTCAGCTCCCCGGGGCCGGATCCCATTATTGTTTACTATTTGTATTACCCAGCCCCTGGGACTGGGCAGCCTTAGGCCTCTCTTGCCTTCAGGAGGACTCCCCCCCCCAAAGCCAGAGGATCTCCTTCGGGAGACAGGGCGAGCTGGGTGGATCTGCCTGACACGGAGGCTGCACTGTGCATGTCGGGACAGGAGGGGCCTGGGCAGATAGCCGGGCCCTGCTTGGGGAGAGCCATCTACAGTAGAGGACACTTCCCAGCCTCCCCTCATCACTAGCTAAGCCCCTGCCTGTGCTCCCCAGGCTCCTGTCAGAGTGCTGTGGGGGTGGGAGCCCCCCCCCGAGGGCTGGGCCCCAGTACCTGCTGCTGCTCCAGCTGCCCCTTGCCCTGCCGCATGATGTTGCCTTTTTCCAGCAGCTCCTTCTGGGTTTTCTCAAACTCCTCCTTGCCCTGGAAGACGGGAGGCCAGAGGATGAGTATTGGCCATGGGGGGGAGGGTCCCTTCATCACAGCCCACTGGGGGTTTCCCCTGGTGGGAGCCCGTCCCACGCCAGGGCAGAGATCTGGGACGCCCTCTCTCTGGCACGGAGCACAGCAATGAATGGGGCTGGCCTGGCACAGTCACCCCCTCCCGGCCTGGGGAGCCCTCGCCCTGGGAGACAGCTCTTAGCCCCAGGGCAGGTGCAAGAATGTTTTGCGCGGAAACTTCCACCTTGCGCCCCCCGCCCCCGAGTGCTGTGGCAGCTCTCCCTCCCCCCCCGCCCTAAGGAGCCCCCCTGCGGCAGCTCCCCACCACCCCCTCCGCCCTGAGGCGCGCCCCCCCCCCCGCAAGAGCTCCCCCCCGGCCCGGGGAGCCATGCAGCAGCTCCCCGCCCCAGCTTACCACTGCTCCGCCTCCTCCCCTGAGCACAGTGTTGCCACTCCACTTCTCCCGCCTCCCAGGCTTGCGGCGCCAAACAGCT